ATATATACATACATACATATATACATATATACATATATATATAGATATATACATGAGAGCTCTGTAGTCCTGACAGGGTTAAGAAGCTCCGAAAACCAAAAGCAGCTCGGGGCTGTTAGCCCACCCCATATAACCACTCAGCTCCAGTTAAAGGCCTCCGTGGCTTCATGCTGCGGGGGGGTCAGACAGGTCGCCATTCCCCGACCCCTGACCCTCTCCTGGCCGGGGTTAGTGTCGCAACCCCACCCTCACGTAATCCAGGAGGTCTGATCTGAAATTACACTCCTGCAGAGGTGTGGGAGGGTTTCTGCAGATGGCGTTTTAAAGTTTAGTTCTCAGTAATTTAATTTTATTTATTATGCAGAATATAGCAATTGCAAGCTTTAATGCACAGATCATATGAGACTTAAAGTACTGTGGGTAAAGTTCTCTTTTGCTGATCATTCTAAAAACTGACTCTATGCCTCAAAACTCAAACCTACAAGTCTGAAGCTAATGTTGTATGAAATGTTGGAATAATGTCCCTGAGTAATGAGGCCCGACGCTATGCATGAATTAAAAGAGAGGGATGAGTGGACACTGTTGAGCAGAAGTCAAGAGTCAGAGTCATTACGCACAGATAACAGTGATGCAGGAAAAAATAATGAAGGGAGAGCAGAGCAGAGCGTCTGAGAAGGGAGAGGGGGATGAAGGAGAGGGGGATGAAGGAGGAGGGATGAAGGAGAGAGGGATGAAGGAGAGAGGGATAAAGGAGGAGGGATGAAGGAGAGAGGGAGGAAGGAGAGGGAGAAGAAGGAGAGAGGGATGAAGGAGAGAGGGATGAAGGAGAGAGGGATAAAGGAGGAGGGATGAAGGAAAGGGGGATGAAGGAGAGAGGGATGAAGGAGGCTCATCCCGTCCGCCCTCTGACCTGATATTAATAATCATCTGGAAGCATGAAGACGTGTGGAGAAGAAGTGAAAGCTGGATTGTTTTTTTATTCTTATTTGAATGTCAACACCTTCTTTAAACACCAGCCTGTAACTTTCATTTCTCTCTTGGTGGTCTGGCAGAGCTCAGTACGCGTCGGCTAATTGGAGTCGGCTGCACTAAAGATGATTGATTTTCTTTTGTGAAATATATTATTAGTATTTAACTTCAGCAGAAAAACTCCATACCACACTGGAACCAATTTCCTCTGTAAAACCCGCCAATATAAACCCTCCTCACACCCGATGTGATGAACACATTGGGTGCCATTTAACTTTGCTTCCATCGACATCGGGATATGAAGAACCTCACACTGTGCCGAGGATAACGTAAGACGTTCCACAGACTGCAGGCAGCTCAAATAACTGCTGACTACAGAAACCTTCCAGCTATGTATTTGTTTTGTATTATTCTCGAGGACGAAGACCCTAAACTCACTTTCTACTCTCCTTGATATGTTGATAGAAACCCTGAGGCCCATTCAGACAAACTGTGTGTGGCATCGGACTGATTAAAGTTGTAAGTCAGCAGCGTCTTTAACTGACAAAAGCCTCAGGTTTGACTTAGATTGATTTAAATCAGGTTTAAGAATGCAGGGTCACCTTTTACCTCCCATTTTCCTCAACATTCAGAACACTTTAACCTTATTTATCTGCTAGTGAACCAGCTTTTTTCTTTGATTGTTGTTGCTCATCACTTCCTTACACCCCAGAGAACTCTTAACAGGGCTTTAAATGCTAAAGACCTGCACAGCTCACCAAGTGTACTAAGTGTAATCTTTATTCTGAAAGGAGCCGCCTCCTGTAACACCTCGCTGTGGCAACTCGCTGTCAAATTTGACATTTCGTGCGTTATTTCACTCCGTGAATCTTAGAGGAGGAGCAACAACATCATTTGTGTTTTGTAGTTAACACATTTGGGGGGTGTTTTTTTAGTTTTTATCTCCGCGATAATACGGGAGTGAGCTCTTAATTGAGTGACATGGAGTGAAGCCCATCCATCCATCATGGCGTCATACTGCCGCACAGACTCATTACCGGCTTAGATTGTATCAAGGCACAGACTGTGGGTGTTAATGGGTTTTTTTATGAATGGGGAGGAAATTGAACTCGGCTTATGCAAATGAGAAGTAGTCTGAAAGTAAGTTTGGTTGCACGTGGAGGAAAACGTGTTTGCAGCATCACGACAGTCAACATTTCAAACCCCTTTATTTAGCTTATAAAAGCATGATTCAAACACTTAAGTCATTGTTTATAGATAATTTTTTATGCATTCTATTTATATAAAAAGGTAATGAATGACTTATTACACAGGATGCAGAATATATAAATCTTTAACCATATTTAATGTTATGTAATAAACATGAACATGTCCTTGCGTGATACATTTGTTAGCCGTTTACATGCATGCACACATCATTTACAAATGAGTTTAAAACGAGTCGTGATGATCTTGAAGGTTCATTCTTCACCTTTTGAAATAGTAGTTTGAGAAGAAACTACTCAAGACCTACTTACTGTGTTTCTTTCAGCTTTCGCCCGCATTTAGTTGCATTCATCAACAGTCATGGAGTATTTATAGATAATTTAATTCCTCATTCATAATTATAAGTATGATACCATACCATTAGAAGTATACATATAATTATATATTCAGTAAATATACGTAATATATCATTAAGACATATTTTTATCAGATTAAAACTGTAATAACGTCTAACATGAATCAACATTGATAATGGCGTATAGTTTTCAGGAAAAAAAACCTGAAATCCTTTAATTCCCTTATAAGACCACTTTCCTAATCTTTTCACCGCACTTTTCTGGTGAAGAGCCTTTGTACAAACATATGGAGATAATAATTACCTGTGTGCTGTTGGCTCTCCGTCAGATCAAACCACACTCCCCCCCCCCCCCCCCCCCCCCCCCCCCCCCCCCCCACCCGCACCCCCGCCCCCCCGCTCTCCCCCCCCCCCCCCCCCCCCCCCGCCATCCCATCATAAAATAGTCCCAGGGTTTACAGAGCCAGATTGGCAGCTCTACGGGTCCATGATTCAACATGTCGGCGTTGCAACACTCAACACACAGGAAATGGGTGAATGAGTGAAGTGCTCTATGCGTTAGAAACTGATGAGTCAGCAGACGGTGGCTGAGGCCAAGAACAGACAAGAGGTTAAACTAACCATGATGTCCTTATTGATTTCACTATTTGCTTAAATATTCCTTTAAGAGGGAAACCTCACACACAAAACGTGAGATAAGAGGCCATTGACCCTTCGCTAAAAACCTTCTTTTGTTCTATCAATCTATCACATCTGACACTGAGCTATGAATCCAAACCTTCGCTGTACTGTAGGTACCTATGGGGGGGGGGGGACCGTCCTGCGTCAAGTATAAACCCATCTTTGCAGTAAAGATAAGATAAATGAGTCTGTGAAAGCTGTGTGAACAAACGCCTCTCTGTTAACCTTCAGAGCATAGAGAGGAATGAAAGTGTAAAGTCTGGTGTATGTAAGAGCTGCTGAAGTAAAACTCATAGATATCACCATGAAACTTCACTTCATTACTCACATTAAGATGATTGTTTTTTGTATCACAAATTTTCTGAAATGTTATGTTTAAATATGCAAATGAGGCATTATGTAATGGTAACTTTTGGTGAATTTGGGAGAAATCTACAGACGCAAATAGATAAAGTAGTGAAATAAATAACTAAATGTGTATTTTGGATGTTTTCTTTCCTCTAGTCTGAAAGGAGACATGTTATGGAAGCTAAATAGACCAAAATCTACGCTGTTATACCTGCGATGAACCTTTTATTACGTTGATAATATCATCCTGCTGATACATCGGTCCGCTCTACTGGAAACTCTCAATGGAGAAGTGATAAGCAGGGATGATTATGTGGCCTCAGCCTGCAGCAGAGAAGCTTCCCTGACTGGTGATAAGAACTGTGTGAGACAATGAAAAGGTCAGTCAGCTCCACGCTGACAGGCGGAGGTGGTGGAGTGAATGAAGAGCTGCAGATACTGTTCTGTCTGTACTGGGAGCCATAGGGGCGATGGTGAAATGTGATCTGGGGAGCTGGAGCTCGACATGTGGCTGCAGGTTACTACCTGGAACACACACACACTGGGCTGGGGAAAAGTGTGTGTGCGTGTGTGTGTGTGTGTGTGTGTGTGTGAGGATGTGTGTAACTTGCATGTGTGATCTGACCTCAGCAGCTGCAGTAATGGTCTGAGGTTTCTGCCCTGCAGTGCTGGATGTGTGGATTAAAACATGAATGTTTCCGCTCAAGTTCAGTCGAGGTCACTGAGAAACTCACACTGACTTGTCAGTTTACAGCAAAATCATAAACGTTTATTTTGTGTTTTTTTTACAGCAGTGTTACATGAAATACTTGTCAGCAGAAGTAGTGACTGTGGTCGAAAGTCAATTTTTTAGATTACGAGGGAGAAAATAAATGAATGCAGTTTTGTTCATTTAGACTGGATATTTTTTTAATTTACATAAAGTCCATCATGCAACACAAAGGTTCACTTCCACTATAACTACCTCTGTGTGCCGGGAAACTGCGTGTGATAATGAGGCAAGTAATGCTGATTTGTGGGATTCATTACACGTCTGACAGCGTTCATTAGATACAAATGGAATGAATCATATTTCTGTGTTTGTGTAATCCATCCTCCTCTCCTCCATCAGAGCTCCTCTGTTGGTCACTAAAGGCTTTAGCTGATGATTTGTCTTTATTTCATCCTCATGAGCACATAAAGCAGATATTTATCCAAGTGTTTCTCCTTTAGAGTTATGATGTTACCAAATAGTGTTGGATGCTTTACATCTTTAGTTTAAGAGTACTGGGTCATCTGTCATTTCTTTCAATAGGACAAACATTTCTAGATTTATTCTTCTTTGTTTTTTGACTGCTGACTTGATACTGTAATACCTCTTATAGTAATATTAGGGTTAGGTTTATGTCCAGCACAGTGTTTACTTTGTTTATATGGGCCACAGATCATATTCCCAGGTATTAAATAACTGCAGAAACCTAGCCTGATATCGCCAGATTAGAAAGTGAATGTGCGTTAGTCCGGTACTTTACCATTCAACGGGTTATCAACATGTGAACAATGTCTTCATAAAACGGTTCGTATGATATGATGATATATGATGATGGTATGATACAAAAAAAGTGAATCCCCATTTGTGTAGCTTAAGATTTCTCTTTTTTGATAAAACATTCAGCATTTAAAATCAAATCACTTCAACATTCTAGGTCAGTTTTAAATATATTGGTCAACCCCGGTGCAATGTTTTGTTCGAAACTGTGAAGCGATTCTTCGGATACGAAGTTGATATCATTTTTATTTTATTTCACTGAGGATTACTTTATTCCTCATTATGCTGATCCTGTAGCTCCGTATCTTTAAGACCCCGATCAATGTGAACTTTGATGTATATGCTGTGCACATATTGTAATCAATGAACCACACACACTGTCAAAATAAATAGTTCCTCTTATTTATGTATTCATGCAGTGAAAGCTGTAATCCATCAGGTATCTCTATTGAGATTTGAGCCTCACAAGAAAAGAACCCCAGGTAGCACATGTTTAGTGTCCCTGGTTTGAAGTAGGATTCAGCAGCTACTCTAAATTATGCTAAAACCTATTTTATTCCGTCTTTGGAGATGTAGAATATAGATAAAAAAATGCCTTAAATGTCTTGCGAAACCCAAATAGTGACCCTGACTATCTGTCACCGAGTGCCCTGACTGGAGATAAAACCCCACATACCTGTCACCCTCCACTGGAACCCCCAGCGCCAGTCTACCTGGAGACACAGACGTGAACGTTTGGTACTTCGAACACGAGCTGTTTTTATAAACCCACATAAATCCTGAGATAAAGTACGACACCGGCATTCATAGCATCACAACATGGAGGCATCTTTCCCCTTGGTGTGGCTCATTAGGACTCTAATGGCTTCACAATGGGGTCAAAGGTTTAGATTCTCTTCATAATACTATCTGAAGAAGCTGATTTCTTGCAGTGGAGTGAAATGGTAACAAAAAACAAAAAAGCACCACCCAAAATATCTTTTCACCGCTGATCTTAGGGAACGGCATCTCTGCAGATTGTTCAGTGCAGATTCCTTTTAGCTCTGGACGGGCTGTCAGAGTGGCAGTGAAGGGCAAAGTGTTCTAGCCTGCAGTTCTCTCTGCTGTCAGTCTCGAGCGCTGTGAAATCCGAGCCGGCTTGGTGTGGTCGTTCATCCGCCCGGCTCACTTTAACTTATGTCGGTTCATGTTTCTTATGCACGTTTTCACTACAGAGCATGGAATCCACATGCAAAAGGCACATGCACCCTCCAGCATGTGTCAAACACAGTCGCAGGAATAACATGTTGGCATTGGGAGTTTCTGCAAACCCTGAATCTCAACGTTTCATATCAACATTTCTACATAATCATATATCAACGTGTATAATATTTTAACCGCTTGTGGCTCTTTTTCCATTTTAAAACTGCATTCTTATTTACGTATACGTTTCGGGAACAAAACGTGATTCGACAATTTTCTCGCTGTTGAATCTGCTCTGAAGGAAACTGAAAGTGAGAATATCTTTAAATGACACTTTGTGGGTGCTTTTATTGAAAATAAAATAGAATATGTAGTAGACAGATAACTCAAAACAGACTTTAATCTAATGTGCGAGTCTCCAGCCTTTCAGAATTATTTTATGCATGCTTGGAAAAACCATAACAAAACCTTGAGAGAACAACTTGCCATCTAATTAAATGCAGCATTCAGTAAATGTTTTACAAGCAATGCAACTGAGGCCGTGGTTTTCATCTGAGACGCTTCAACTTTATTACAGTCAGTGATCTAAATTCGTCCCAGTGTTCATGCAGCCCATTCTGACCGAGTCTCCCTCGTAACTGAGACATTAAAATTCCGACAGTGTGGGATTTTGATCCTTTGTTGATCTTGAAAGCAGCAGTTTGGTGGCTCATGGCTTCAGGGACGTCTGATGCACACACACACACACACACACAGCAATCAGCAGCTCAGACGTACAGTACACATGCAGCCGTTTACACTTGGATCAGGACTGAACCACCCACTGTCATCTGCACGGCACCGAGTCATCAAACTACAAATCCCTCCTCAGAGTTCTGTGATGACAAAGGCTTAGAAGTGGTAATTATGATGAATACTTTTTGCTAATATTTGGCCACCAAAGGAATAATTATGGGGAAGGTTTTGAGCTGTCACCTGTCTATAAAAGCTTGGAGACAACTTTCTGCTGCTGAAACAATGTGTTGTTTTACTTTGCCTTCTTCTTTTTTTTTTTTGTGGTAAAGGCAAGTTGGGGCAGGAGTCAGATACCTCGCCAAAGGCCTCCCCTCTGCTGCGTCATTGTGTATTCTGTGTCCATTTTGTACTCTTTTTGGAGCTTAGTGGCAATGATTGGTTTCTATTTAGAAAATAGTGTAGGTACAAGGGTTAAGTGTGTATTACATGTTATGCAAAGCGAAACAGACAAGATTATTTACTCAAGGAAACTACTTTTGTTTCCAAAAAAGCTTATCCTTTTCTTGGTTTATAGATTATATTCACATGACATTTAATTGTCTCGTTCTTTCTTTCCTTTGTACAGGTCTGAGGATCTTCATGGAGGTACCGAAGATGGCAGCTTTAGGAACAGCTCTCCTCACTTTAGCGTCGGTCCTCCTGCACGTGGCGAGATGTCATGGGAGCATGGGAAAAGGAAAAGACAGCTCGCCCCTGAGGTTCACGCATCATCTCTACAACGCCACCATCAATGAGAACTCGGCCCCGCGGACGTTTGTTGAGACGCCAGTGAAGATGGGCGTTGAGGTGACGGATCTGTTCTGGGAAATCAAATACGATGTCGTCTCGGGAGATGACGATGGCCTTTTCCAAGCAGAGGCAGTTCAGGTTGGAGATTTCTGCTTCCTCAGGATCAAAACACGCAGCAGTAACTCGGCACAACTCAACAGGGAGGTCAGAGACGCTTACACTCTCACCGTGGCTGCGACCGAAAACACTTTTGGCTTACAGGCGAAGACGAAGGTGTTTGTCCAAGTGCTTGATACCAACGACCTAAAGCCTCTTTTCTATCCTGCCTCGTACAACGAGGCCATCAGGGAGGACACTCCAGTTAAGTCAAGTGTGGTGAGGGTAAGCGCCACAGATGCCGACATCGGGAGCAACGCTCGGTTTTATTACTTGTTCACCACCAGAGCTCATCCTTTTGTCGTCGACCCTTTCACAGGCATGATCAGCCTCGTCAAGAAGCTCAATCACGCCCAAAAAGAGAGGTACGACCTCACGGTTTTAGCTGAGGACCGGACGAAGAAGATGTCCGGTGTTCAAAAATTTGGTAATGTCGCCAGGGTTACAATAAACGTTCAAAAGATGTCCGTGGGGGCTCCAGTTATTAAACATCCCCTCAGACCCACAGTATCTACAGATGGCAAAATAACTATGGATGTCCACGTGGAGGCAGGAGTTAAGCCTGTGGAATCCCTAAATATTGTTGGAGGGGATCCACACAAGTGTTTTGAGATAATCCCTTTCGGTGTGCAGGGCTGTGACTTCCAAGTCCTCTCTACAAAGAGGATTATCTGGTCTCAAACTCCTTTTGGGTTGAATCTGTCCCTTCAAGCTAAAGACAGGAGCCTCCCTAGTTTACTCTCTCCAATTACGCTAATCCACGTTCCGGTTTATCATTACAGCCCTTTGGCATTTTTAGAGGACACCTATGTTGTCACCCTGAGTGAGTTCTCACCCCCTAAAACTCACGTGGTTAAGGTTTCGGTCACCTCGGTACCTTATAATGTTATCTTCAGTATCAAAAATAACCCGGACAGCACTAAATTCACAATAAATCCCAAAAACGGAATTATCATAACAACAGAGAAATTTGACTATGAGAGAAAGGAACGATACGAGTTTGATGTAGTGGCCAATCACGGTGACGCTGAGACTCACATAGTGATTGAGATAACCGATGAAAACGACAACAGCCCACAGTTCACCCATCCCTCCTATCAGGCCACACTGGATGAAAACACCCCCGTTGGCAGCAGTGTTTTGAAAGTCGCCGCCACTGACGAAGATAAAGGAAAAAACGGCTTTGTGACTTTCGCTATTGCGAACGCTGGACCCTTACCTTTCATAATAGACCCATTCACGGGTGTCATCTCTACCACCGAACACTTGGACTACGAGCGCATGAAACGGCTGTACCACCTGAGAGTTTGGGCCTCAGACAGCGGAAGCCCCTTCAGTCAGGTCAGCGAATGCCCCGTGACGATAACCCTGAACAACGTCAACGATAACTTCCCTCTGCTTGAGAGGGTGGGCTGCAACACCACCATACCTCAAGATTTACCCGTGGGACACACAGTCGCTCAGCTGTCGGCCATTGATGTGGATGAGCTGCAGCACTTGAGGTACGTTATCGAGTCGGGAAATGAGCTCCAAGTATTTAATCTTGACTCGGTGTCGGGAGCCCTCACCCTTAAGCAGCCGATTCCCCTGCGAGAGGGTGCTTTCAATTTGAGAGTTGTAGCCACTGACGGGAAACATTTCTCTGAAGCTTCACTTATCAGGGTAACTGTCACTAACAGGGGCGATAACGCAACGCTCCGCTGCCACGAAACGGACGTTTTAAAACAGCTGACCGATAAACTGATTGAGTCAATCAAACCCAGTTTAACCAATCAAGAGGAAAACACCTTCTCTGATATTCACATCACCAACCGGCATTCTCCCAAGTTTGATTCGAGCATCCCAGGTTCAATCAACCTGATTGAGGACCATCCACTGCTTTCCACCATAGTTCAGTTCAAGGCGACAGACACTGACACTGGGTTTAACAGTAAGCTGGTGTACACCATATCAAGTGGGAATGAGAACGGCTGTTTCTCCATCGACATGTTCTCCGGTGACCTTCAGTTAGTTTGCCCATTAGACCGAGAGAGTAAAGAGTTCTACATCTTGAACATCACTGTTTATGATTTGGGAACGCCGCAGACATCCGCGTGGAAGTTCGTTGCAGTGAACGTCATGGACGTCAACGACAATGCTCCTGTTTTCGATCAGCCCAGGTATGTGGTACGTGTGCCTGAGAACACAGAGGTGGACTCCATCGTTTTTACGGCTCGCGCAATAGACCCCGACATCGATACGAGCGGAAGTGTCCAGTACTCCTTGCTGACGTCTACCGATATGTTCAGAATTGATGAAGTGACCGGTGAGGTGACTGTGACGAGTGGTTTGGATCGAGAAACCTCACCCAGGCACGACCTCAGGATCGTAGCCAGAGACCAAGCCAAACTCGGCCCTCAGTTGTTCTCCATGGTTGACCTGGTGGTGGTTTTGCAAGACATAAATGACAACCCACCCAAGTTTGTACCCAAAGTTTACAAAATAAAAGTTCCAGAGGATGTACCTGTGGGCACCCTCCTCGTGTGGGTTGAGAGTGTTGACTTGGATCTGGGCAGCGGAGGCCTCGTCACCTACAACCTCAAGAATAAAGAAGGCGAGATCTTTCACCTCGACTCCTCCACGGGTGCCTTGATCCTCGAGAGGGAGCTGGACTTTGAGAGGCGGCCGGTTTACAACCTCACAGTCCGGGCCGTCGATCACGGCTTCCCTCGCTCCCTCTCCTCCTCCTGCTTTGTGGAGATTGAGGTTCTGGACGTCAACGAGAACCTCAACAGACCAGTATTTTCAGAGTTTGTGTATGAAGCCGGAGTGATGGAGGATGCAGCAGTGGGGACATCAGTGGTCACACTTACAGCTTCAGACAAGGACCTGGGCAGAGATGGAGTTGTCCGGTACCACATCCATGAAGGCTCTGGTCTTGGAGTGTTCACCATTGACGAGGAAACAGGTAAAAACACTGGTTTCGCCATTTTGTAATTGGTGGTTATATTGTTGGCATTTTGGGGAAATGGGGAATTTTTTGCTTGATCTACACTAGGGTTAAAAGAAAAAAAATCAAATTTGAACATGTGATCCGAATATATTCAAAAACATCCCGCAGCCGATCCTAAACTCTGCTGGTGAACTGACATAGTTTGACTCATTTGCCTCATTTGCCTTGTGTGCTTGACGTGGGTGAGCAATGGCGCTAATAAAACCAGAAATAGAAGACCCAGCTTGGCTGTTATGTTGCTGTTTTTTTTCGCATTTTGAAAGTCTACAAACTGCCTTAATTTCATTCATAATTTAAAAACCCGCCAGCCAACAGAGATTTCCAGACGTTACTCGTCTCTTCCCAGAAATGAAGCTGTAATTTAAAAAGCTCATCATTACAGATCTTTTTTTTTAATTGCATTTTTTGTATCGTAAAGATTTCTCATCCATGTTGACATGAATGTGGAGAGTTTAGGTCATACTTGACCGTGGAAACAGCAGTTGGCAAACTTAAAATACTGAACACATACATTTCTATGACAACTGGGCAAGATCTATCAGCTGATGAAGATCATGTGCTATGACTGAAAGCACAAGAAACTGCTACTAATATCTTGTGGTTTTACACCAAATTAGTTTTTTCTATTGTGTGTCGGCACTATTCACCTCTAAGCAGGTCAGAGGTCAGATTCAGGTAGAGTCTCCATTTGTCCATCAGCGACCTCTCAACAACTCCTTCAGGGTATCCAAAGAAACTATGTGCACAAAAGTTGACTTCCCTTGTATTTAGACCCAGGGCATTCAGCTTTTTGTAAACTAGAGGAATTTGAGTTAGTTTTGGCAACACAAGCGTGTCATGCTGCTGAGCCTTTGGGCACCAATCCAGACTTTAAAAAATGCAAACAGGCACCTTAAACTAGATGAATGTAATTGTGATTGATATTTCCTCCGGGCTGGTAACAGTTATTAAATCAAAAATGAATAAAAAAATGATAAGTGATAGATCCTTGAGGCACAGCAGCAGTTTGAAACAAGTAGATACACGGTGTGCTGTTCACAAGTGAAACTGTTTCATCTCGGCAGTTAATCCTTGTCCCCCACCTTCACGTGTCTCAGGTGTGATTCGTACAACAGAGGCGTTGGACCGCGAGACGATGCCTCACTACTGGCTCTCCGTGTACGTCACCGACCTGGGGACCGAGCCTCTGATCTCCTGGACTCACGTCTTCCTGGAGGTCCTGGACGTTAACGATAACGCTCCAGAACTCTCTCAGCCGGTGTATTTCGCGACCGTCCAGGAGAACTTGGCCACCGTCAGGTCCGTCGTCCAGGTGTCGGCCACAGACGTGGACTCGTCCTCTGAGGGGAAGCTGTCCTTCCAGATTCTGGAATCTCATCGGACGTTCTTCAACGTGGATCCACAAACAGGTAATTAAGAGTGTCCACTGAAACACAATATGTCTCCAATAAACATGCAAAACAATCACCAGTGATAATATTACTGGTTTCATTTTTTTGTTTTAACTAAAAGACATTCTGTGAGGAAATGTTTCCGTTACAGCACGAGGCTTTCATAGTAAAGTGACTTACTGCTCATTTATAAGCATGGTATCAGCCTGTTGTCTGAGCAGCTTCAGCCTCCTGCTTTGTGACAGTAAGTGTAGACATTTGAATACTCAGAGGCTTTTTACGGGCAGGCAGATATATCGTTACTCTGGGATGTAGGATGTAATTGGATCAGCCGGCGAAATGCCATCCTCCACTTTCATAAGCAGTTTGGACAGAAATATAGGCAACTCGCTCCGTTGTGATGGATTTAACTCCCTTTGTGAATATACCACATCTGGAGGACCTCTGTGTTTTCTCTTTAAATAATTGTTTCGACATACCTGTACATGTCGCCATGTCCCCACTGCAGATTTACATTCTGATTCAGGGGTATTGCTGCGGCTGTAAAACTTAACAGTGAGTTATTTACCACAAAGGGGGGGAGGGTGAAAAATGGTTAATATGTCTTAATGCACTGTTACAAGTCTGAGCAGAGCAAGGCATGCAGTAACTGGGCATGTCACAAAGAGGACAACGCTGAAAATGAAACTTTATAATGAGAAACTCCTTCAGAGGTCACTCACAAACTCACTCATCTGTGGTCTGAAAGGATTTTTGGAGCAAAAACAGAAATAGCAGGAGTAAAAAAGAGGCCTGAAAACCCTCTCAGTTATCTGGGTGTTCATCTTTGACAGTTGCAACTGAGTCATCTGCTCTGGACTTTGATGTTCAGGCAAATTGGCGCAGCGTTAGCTCCGACGCTACAAGCAGCTACAAGCCCTGTGCTCATTATATAATCTCTAGGTAGCTCTGGTGTCCACACCCTCAGGCCAATATACCGAAGGATTACTGACAGTGGGCGAGTTCTGCTTCACGGAGAGACGTCACACAAAGGCAGGGAGGACAGGAGGTGTTGAAACAGCCACATTAAAACAACCCTTTTTTTTTTGTGCAAAGGCAGGTGTATTTGATGTTCATGTAGTCGTGCATAAAAGCACAGGATTTCAAAATGTGTTAGGTTGAAAAGCTTTATTGTGTCATTGTGTGTGCGCTTTTTACACTGAGGATTTCTCTAATGTCAAGCCTCGGCTGTAGACTGAGGTATTTTGAATGTAGATGACCCAAATTTGTAGAGAAAAGCTGGTGAACTGTGTTCTTTATTCACATATTTGGTCCCCATTGGCTTCCAAAAGTGAGTCTTCCAACGGTCCACATAAAATAATAAGTATTAATGAATTTGAAAATTACACAAATGAAAGGGCAAAGTTTTAAAGTTAAACGAAAATGTCAAAATCAATAAGAAGAAACTGAAAAACTGAATAAAACAAGATTATTCTAACATTAGCTCACATTACATGAACTGCCAAACATTATACGGCCAAAAGTGTAATGTGTAATCTTGGTTTTGAGCTGTTCATCTTGATTTTCCCCCTTTAGAGCCGATGAATGGAAATCATAATGTGTCATCTTACAATGATATTTTAGACAAATGTTACAACTTTGTGGCAAAAGTTTGTTTTTGTCCCTTCCCTGTGTCAACCAAAGAAGTACAATAGGAGTAGAAGGCACATTTACCTGTTTACCGTGGTCATTTGTCTAGAACAAAAGAAAAAGGCTATTGTTGTTAGTGTTGTTGCAGCTCTGGAGACAGATGGCTGGCTAGTTAGCTGGGGAGTGACCAGTATGGGCCGTTAGATCACCAGCCGGCTGTTTGGCTCATTTTCTGTAACCAGTGTAGCATTAAAGCATGGTGGAATAAGCAAGCTAGCTAAGTAGCCAGCTTTCCCTAGTTAGCTAGCTAGTTTTCTTATTCCACCATGCTTTAATGCTACACTGGTTACAGAAAAGGAGCTGAAGAAAGTTGGCGCTCATCTGTTTAGTTTACACGTCAGTTATAAGACAGTCTGTCCCTTCTACTCCTGTTCTATTTCTATGGTTTCAACATGACGATTCCCCTGCGCACAAAGACATGTTTTTCCCAGTTTGGTGTGGTAGAACTTGACTGTCCTGCTTTACTGGCCCTAACCCCAAACCAACACCAACACCTTTGGGATGAACTTGAACAAACACCCAGCGTCAGTGTTGGACCTCACTGATGCTCTTGCGACTGAATGGGAACAAAATCTGGTAAAAAGCCTGAAACTAAAGGAGTAAACGCTGCTAAAACAGCACAATAATGCCTTTGGTCACATATAGGTATAATGTGTCCACGTATTTTAGGCCGTGTAGTTTAAATCAAAAGGCAATTTGCATATAAGGTACAAAAACCCTTTTGAGGATACGTGGACACAGATAATCTAACCTTTAACTTCAAAGAGGGAACGCTCCAACTAAAGTAACTCTCCTGAAAAATCCTCAGAAAACTAAAGAATACAAGTTGGATATCAGCGTTCATGGATCGTGTAAACGAGTGAGATTGCGTTACCTTGAATTACCTAAATGTTCTGTAGATACCTCCTCTTCAGAACATGACCCACCTTGTCCTATTTTCACAAATGAACCCATTGTTACTAATGCAGGTGACTGGTATTGTTGAAACCTCTCATGCCTCGACAGGATGAAATGACTCATGACTGTACGCAGGTTTCTGACGAAGCCTTTACCCTCCTGAAGCGTACATTTACTTTATGTGTCTGATTAAACTTTAAATAATTAGTTGATTAAGTTTCAGCAGCGTAGGATGTGTGCTGAGCAACAGAAAAACACAAGTCCAAACTGTTTTTATTGAGCCGTTGCTGCTTCAAACAAGTTGTTGTATGGCTTCGACAACAGGTCGGTGCAGGGAGCAAGGGCGTGCCAAATTACCGAAAATGACCGAAAATCGTCGTCTCGGTTATGTTAGTTCACTGTGGGGCTCATTATGTGTTGTTAGCAAGGCCAGTCGTGGCAGGATGTGCCCAATTCATTAGCATTTTGCAACAGAAACTTCCTCAAGTTATTGCAGAGCCGCTCATCCTTGAACTGCTGTATTGTGTTGCATTCTGCTTAACTTTCTGTTCAACAGCCACAAACTGAGAGCAGTGCAGAGCAGCGGCCGTAAGATAATCAGTGGGAAAATACTCACAAGAACACCGAAATGTGGATTCATCCGCCGCTGGATATAGTCCCCAACAAATGCGCCATTACCTGCTGTTTTTTTGGGAAATTACTGAAAATTAACTATATATTCATAAAATTCACAGCAAGAGAGAATATCTCCAGCCTCTTTGTTTCACTATTTCTTTAATTTGGGATAACTGATAATTTCCACTTCTTCTTAAAACATTTTCAGCTCAAACTCAAATGTCTTTGCCTTTATTTCTTCCACTCCGTTTGTGTCCGTGTGTTAAACTTTACATTTAGTGTGTGAGCTCCATTCAGAATGGTCGCAGTGATCAGATAGCATTGCTAGTAAGTCAGGCAGACGAGTGATTTGTATCTCAGATCGGATCCGATAATGATCCGATAATGAGGGGCACCTCGAGGCCCTCGGGGGCCCAGCTCGGTGGATTTGTTTTAAAACCGTTCTTGCAATTAGTGATGAATTAGGCTGTTTGTTGCTCTTTTGTTTTTACCATTTGCATACAATTGTTATTCAAGACGTAATTTCGTATTCTTAGTTCAAGAAAGACAGAAAATCCCCCGTCCAAACCAACCCCAGTGAGTGTTTGACTGACTCTGTGCCTCGTCGTTTAAGACACGGTTTTAACAGGGAGTTAAATACATTACATTACTACATTACAAAAAAATATATACAAAGATGTGAAGTAGCAGCTGTAGAAAAGCCAACTGGCGGTGAAATTAGAGGGAAAAGACACGGAAACAAACAAACCGGGCCCTGACATGCCAGACAACACTGTTTATCTTCACGTGGGTTTGACAGCGAGGGAGAGACTCGGCTTCATCGCTGATTCCCACGTCTGCACTAATGACAAAAACACTCTTCCTAACGCGCCCCACCTGTCCCGACAACGTCCTCCCTGCAGGGCTCGTTTGCACTCGTCGTAAAAAAGCCCCGGTCGACCCTCAGCGGGGTCTTTCACTGCCCCCCTGAAAGAGAAGCTCCTCCAGTCTGCCTCCTTCACCCGGTCCTAACCAAGACTGGAGCACATTTTATAAACGGATTAAATAAGAGAAGGTACATAAATGAATAAAAAAGATAAAATAAAACAAACAGCATTGCACAAAGAAAACAAAACAATAAATACAAATTTAAAACCAGAGCGTGGTCACTCTCCTTTTGTCTCTTTTACCTTATTGACATCACATAGGTGAAAATGAGCCAACTATCTAAAATGCCAAATGCAAGCTTTCCCAGTGAAGGCTGAAGCCAGATGTTAGTGGGTGGGAAAGTGGGTTTGAAAAGCTTGACACCTCACAGCGGTGATCTGTGTAATTAATCAGAGAGAAGGAACAGCGGAGGAAAGAATGTGCGTTGTACTTGGAGTTCTGCCCATTTTCACATGCGAACACACACCTGGCCTCCAGCCCAACAGAAGTCAACCTGCTGAAACAATAAGACATTATTATGGCTGACATTTTGATGTCCCTGTTTCTGTCAACAGATAGTTTCCTCCCCCCCCCCCCCTCCTCAACGTAAATCCAGGCCCATTGCAATAAAACCATCTCACCCAGATAGTTTTATAGCTTTCCAAACACTGACAATGAGACGGTGTGTGGCCGGGTGTGCAGAGCGAAGAACGAAGACGAGCTGTAGTTCAGTTTTAACACGACTACTTCTGTGATGCAACACCACGAATGCCTTTGTGACGTTAAGGTTATTGTTAATGATATATAAACCTTAGCTGTCTGTGCCGATGGTCTCACCTTATGCCATTCATATCTTTTATTTTGTACCAAACTTTTAAAATTGTGCTCCATCTTGTCTCCTTATGAAAAGTTAAATTACCAACTTTATTTTTGTCTTTTAGATAAGATAGATAGATTTATTTTGAACATGCTTACATACAAACATGCACAATGAGAATAATCACTAAAATGAACAGTAAACGTGCAGAAAATTCTAAATACTTAAATAAAAGAAGAGCGACAACCTCATTTCCTTACCTCTTAAAAAATATTTTCATATTTTCTTAAACTAATTTATGTTTTTATTTCAATCATCTTTATGATTGATTAAAGTGGATTTCATGTGTGATTCTAGTGTCACTATAAAACCTGAAGTTGATCCTTTTAATAAGCTGAGGAGCATCAGATTCTCATAATCATTTCACACCAACAACAAACACCAGGGTTTTCCTCAAGCCTTGCTTTGGTGTGAAAGAGGATACACACACACAAACACACACACACACACACACACTCTCTCTCTCTCTTCTATCCACACACTCGTTAGCCGCCCTCCTCTGCTGGTGTCTCTGCTCTCCTTGTTAGAGCTAATGGCCCGAAAACTTTTCACTTCCTTCATTGAGATGAGATGAGGTCAAAAGCCCAACTGGTAAATTTGACTCACAGCTGCAGAAAGAAAGAGATAAGACGGAGCAAACATACATCGAAGTGCAAGCTTCAAACTAACATTATCTTGATAAAAACATGATCAATTATAAGAAGTTCAGGATTTATAAAAATAACACATTTGGTATAGATACAGTACTATTAAGATAATCTTTTATCAAAGACCAAACACATTTTTCAGTGAATACCAACGACTAAACATATTCAAACATATTCTAACATATTCTAACATTTCACAAAAGGTATTTGAGTGAAAATATCTCGACCAAACAAGAGTAGGACACATAGTGATGATGTTTAACTGGCAGGTTTTACTGCAGGTCTGAAGTGAAGAAAACAAACAGCTGCAGACACACAAACCGACTCCCAACCAACAGCTGTGTCTGAATAACCTGCTGACCCACATTTATAACTCATATCAGAAGCAAAGCCGATGTCTGCGGTTCATAAACACTGATTCACCAAACTGTCAGTCTGGTGCGGACGATCAGCGGTTTGCTGGGAGTTTTTTTTGTTTCTAGTCCCCCCCCCCCCCCCCACCACCACACCACACCACACCACACCACACCACACCAAGTGGATCCGTCCATGTAATGTCAGAGGTCGAGCAGGAAATAATCAGAAGAAATCCAGATTTTGTCACCAGTCAGACCATAGCGGGGATGGTCGGGGAGAGCGAGCTCTCTGATTGGCTGTTCACTCTGCTGAATAATTGATTTTTGTGTAAAAATATCTTGATTTAAAATCTGGATGAAATTATTTCATCCAGTTTTTAGTGTTTGGCAGCAAAACAACACTGGTATACACACACTTGTACTGTACACACACACTTTAATATAACTCTGTTAGACACACACAAAGACACACAACTTTACCAGCAACAACAACAACAGCAGAAACAACATCCATAAACCAACATGTTTGCTCGGCTCGGTCACTGAGAGGCACACCTACAACAATAGAAACACTAACACTCCTAACCTTCTGTTTGTTTAGGTGTAATTAGAACTCTCACTTCCCAGCACTGAGACTCACACACACACCACACTAATGATATTGATTTTTCTCGTGTGTGTGTGTGTGTGCAGGTGTTATCAGCACTCTCAAAGCGTTGGATCGGGAGAGTAAACCTGAACACAGCGTCGAGGTGAGTCTCTTGTAAACCTTTTCCCTTCCCTTCGGAGTTGATGCTGAGACAAAAACAAGTCCTGGTGTTCTGTAGTCAATAAATCTATGGAAGTATAATAAGTACTAAAGGCTCATAAAAACACACACACACACACACCGCCTTTAGAATGAAGACAAGAGTCTGTTGCTGAAAACGTGACGTCCAGTCTGGATTTATTGGGTTTAATAGCAGGATGAGATTAGGATTTGTCTTCAGAGTCGAAGACTGAAGATGTCTTTTTAAAACAGCCTAATTTCAAGCAGTCGTACAGGAAAACAAAAACCTATGGCAGCAGAGGACACACGGAGAACAATTTCTGAGTTCACAGGAGCAGAAGATAGACCAGAATGCACTGCAGCTACAAGAAACGACATTTGTTCTTGCAACACCACCAAAAGCATTTTAAATGAAAGCTTCCTTATTGGGCTACACCGATACATTCAGGCATGTTTCAGAATTTTTACAGAGACTTGGACTTTATATATTTTTTCACAAGATACAATAAAAATAAAGTCAGTTTAAATCTCACAGAATATTACCGGTACATGAATGTCTTTGTTGAGAAGAAACTGATACTGACTTTCATTCGTCCTCTTGGAAAAAGTAGTTTGAACCCTAATCTGTTGTCTCAACATAATTTACTATCTTTTTCTGTTTCTTAATTTTTTCCTGTGGATTAAGTTTTCACTGCAATTAACAGAGCTAGATGAGAGTTATTGATTGAGGAAGGACAGCATGTGGCTCTGAAATCAGGTGTTCCCCATAGAGCTGCGAGAAAAGATTACTTTCATTATTATCTATAAATGCCTGAAAAAAGGTGTTTTTTAATTACATACAGAGTTTCATCAAGCTGTAAAATGATACAATCATGACGCTATTAATCTTCTTCTCTTCTTAATTCTCAGGTGATCGTCTCCGATAACGGATCTCCGTCTCTGCGCTCCACCGCCACCGTCGTGATCCGAGTCCTGGACGCCAACGACAACCGGCCCAAGTTCACCGACAAGCTTTTCCAAGTCCAGCTGCCCGAGCAGCGCCGGCAGGCGGGCCAACGGGAAGTGTGCAGGATGGTCGCCCGCGATGACGACGAGGGCTCGAACGCCGCGGTGACCTACAAGCTCACGGACGACAGGGACCAGGGATTCGAGATCGACCCGGTGACGGGCGTGGTGACGTCGCACGGAGACTTCTGGCCCGGAAACTACAGTATTCTCACGGTCGGTGTCCAGAACTTTGAGTTAAAGATGACGATGACTTTGTGTTACAACCGGCTTGATGTGAATACTTTCTCCAAAGAGTTGTGCTTCATTTACGTTTTCCTCTGACGGAGGTGTGAGGACTCCAGAGTCTCGACCGAGCCCACCAGCTCTGCTACAGAGGCTAAATTATCCGTGTTTAAACGCCGGCTCTGAAACCAAACCAGAGGTCTTTGTTTCTCTTGACGTTGAACACCTTTACAGATAACCAAAGCACGAGGCTGGTGTTATTCTATGTTCTTCTTATGGTTAACCAAGCTAACACCAAATGTGTCAGCCCGTCTCCCTTTACTCAAACAGGAGGAAATAGAAACCGATTTGGCTCAAATGAAGCCGAAGACATTTGAGTTTGAGTTGCAAATGTTTTGAAAGAAGTGAAATATTTTCAGTGAACCCAAACTTATGAAGGAGGGAAAGAAAGATAAGGATGAGGCTGGGGCTATTCTTTTCTCTCTTGTTGTAAATCTTATGAATAGATAGGTCATTTTCGGGGTGCGTTTGTTAGGGACTACCTTCAGCGGCGGATTAATCCACATGTGGTGCTCCAGTGAGTCTTTGTGACAGCAGGACGGTGTGTGTGTGTGTGTGTGTGTGTGTGTGTGTGACTGAGTCAGAATAAACTAGTGTGTGTTCATGGTGATGAAGGAACAACAGTGAGGATCATTGATGAGTTTTATTGGAGCTCTCGGAGGAAGAAGAGATATCAGGCTTTGATACACGCACAATATTTAGTTATAGTAGATACATTAATTGATGGTTTGCTGGTCTGATTGTGGGCTCCCAAACCTGCAAACACTTGAACTTTAACTGTGAGGTAGACATAAAGGAATACTTTTATATAATGTATAAAACCCACCTGTTCAAAACTGCTTTTAATGTGTGACCATTATTGTGTAGTTTATGTTTTCAGTGTATTGCTTTTATATATGATGATTTTAATGTAAAGTGTCTTTGAGTATTATGAAAAGCGCTCTATAAATAAAATGTATTGTTATTATTATTATTATTATTATTATAATTCATTCACTCTGTGTTGCTTTGAATTCTTAATAATTTAAAGTAACTGAGGGACGCTTTTAACAACAGCTAAATCTTTCTGCTGTGTTTTCCAATACCGTCTCACAGTTTCTCAATATTTTAGTCAAACCCTCATTTCAATGTTAATCTCCACGTTCATTCCCAGATTAAAGCTACAGACCAGGGCAGCCCGCCGCGCTCGTCCACGGCGAGACTCGACATCGAGTGGATCGCCCCCCCGCCACCCTCTACCGAGCCAATCACGTTCGACGAGCCCCCCTTCACCTTTGCTGTCATGGAAACGGACCCCGTCACCAACATGGTGGGCATCATCATGACGGAGACGCACCGGCAGAGATGGTTCGATATCATAGGTAAGGGGGAAGTGAAGACACACTCACTCACACACACACAGACACACACACACACGCACAAAGATGTTTGCTTCCAACTGAACAAACTTCAAGCTCTGATGGAAAACAAGCATCACCCAAATGAGAGTAATGATTTCTAAAAGAAGTCAAAGGCTGACTAAAAAAAAAAACGATTATTTTTTTGTATTACCACAAGATTCCTCAATTTGAAAAGAAACGGTAGGAAACAAAACGCACACTTTCCTTAAGTCCGCATTTCTTCAGACCTTGCCTGAGGTAATTACCCACAATTCATAGCGTTGTGACGGTTAAACCATAGACCGCCGTCGCCATCTTGGCTTTTTTTGCGACCGATGAACGGATGGTACCCTATTTGGAATGCGGGGGGAGTGATGCAGAGACGCCGTACGCCACTTTTCTCATAGACTTCCATAGAATCTGTCTTATTTTTGCAACCGGAGGAGTCGCCCCCTGCTGGTCAGTAGAGAGAATGCACGTTGTATGACACTTCCGCATCGGCTTCACTCTTCAGCACCGGAGGTTGCTGCCTGGTTATTGTTCAGCGGCCATGCAGGCTTCTCTGTGGCATGTTAGAGGAGAGCAATTTAAACTGATAAACCGGCAGATATTTTAAAGAAATGTTTGGAGGATAGATGGATAGAAGATGAATATATGCAAACAAAATATGGATAAATAACACAACCTTGCCACCACAGCTCATGAGTTCCTGGAGCGATGGCTGAATAGAGAGGAAAAAAGGAGGAGAGGAAAAAAAGGTCTTGGTATCAGCGGGACGTTTTCTCTTTCTGCGAGGATAAATCAGTGGCGTTCCTCCTCTCATCACCATCCAGATCACCACAGGAGGAACGAGCTGGCCATTCCTGCTGCTCCTCCTCCTCCTCCTCCTCCTCCTCCTCCTCCTCCTCCTCCTCTCAGACACGGATCACTATGAGAAGGACCGTCACAGAGGGCTTTATGAAAATTTAAAAAGCGTGACAGTATTATCAGTTGAAGTGGAAATCATCCCCCTGTAGCGCCGGACGTGCCGGTTTCTCGTTCCCTTTGAGCCTCCCAGAAAAAAAAAAAAAAAACAGCGGCATCAGGGTCTGCCAGGCCACTTCCTGCCAGGCGGTGTGCAGAGAAAGGCCGAGGTTCCTCCTGTTCAGTTTGCTGTGCCAAGCTCCGTCTGTGCCAGAACCCCCGACAGCACAACAGACACCCTCTGCATCCCCCGTGGGGACATTCAGTCGTCTCATAGCTGCTGACGCCGGATGCTACTTCTTCTGTCACGCGTGAGTTCAGTTATGTCACGAAGCAGAGGAGTCCTGATCGTCCTGAGGAGGCTGGCAGCACTGACTATAGTTTAAAAATACAGTTTTCAAAATTATGAAAGCATGAAAAACTTAGCAGAACCTTCATGCATCTATAATCTCTTTCATCTATTCAAATCCTTTTTCTGGAGACCAGCTCACTGTATCCCAATTTGGTTTTATTCTACTTCTACTCCGCCCTGGTCTGCTCCACAGTCGAGTAGCGCTGACCCCTCGTCTCGTTGGCAGATGAGGGAGTGTTGTTGTGTCACAGGACTCCTCTCGCATGCAGATATGATCGGGCTGCTTTTACCTTCCTCCTCTCCAGCAGCAGAACCCAGATGCCTATCACGCCTCCTCTCTGGCCGCGAGATAACTCGGCGAGACAAATGAAGACTTCCCTCGCTGTCAGAATAACTACAAAAAGGCCTCGCTGCATTTAGAGCCAAGTGGAAACACCAAAGCTGGATACCTGCTGTTGTGTGGATGCACGCAGCTAGGTTAGGGGAGGGAGAGAGAGAGAGAGAGAGAGAGAGAGAGAGAGAGAGAGAGAGAGAG